TTCCTTGGGAGGGGAGGACCCCAGAATGTGGAGACCGATAAACATCCCCCTGGAAGGAGGCCAACAGACACTGGAGTGGGCACTGCCAGAGGTCAGTGTCCGGAAGGGGATGCCGTGGTCTGGGAGTAACACGGGTCTGGAATGGAGAGAGTGGAGTGAGGACATGGAGAGACACCAGCCAGAGGGAGGTGCCCTGTGGGCTAACAAGCTAATTCCCAGGGCTACTGGCAGGAGGTGCAATGGTGGTGAGTCCACCCCTTGACAGGTTCAAATGCCAAATTAGAAATAACTAGCACTGGCAGGAAGATCAGGACTGGATGGTTAGCCAAAAGCAGTGCGTGCTCAAGAGAAATTGGAGGGATGAAGAAGCTGTCCCTAGATCATGCATGCCCCATTTAAAAAGGGTTGGCATTGGGAGTGGGAGAACGAGACAAACAGAACACTGAGGGTATGTCTAGACTACATGGCTCTGTCGCCAGAGCCATGTAGATTAGTTTACTAGACATACCCAAATGAAGCAGCAATTTAAATAATTGCCACTTCATTTAAATTAAAATGGCTGCCGCGCTGAGCTCTGGACACTCTGTGGTCAACATCAAAGGCATTTGTTGACTGCCCCGGTAAACCTCATCCCATGAGGCATAACGGGGCAGTTGACAAATGCCTTTGATGTTGACTGTGGAGTGTCCAGACTAGCGCACTTATTTTCCGCAAGATCCCGTCTAGACTGGCGCTTTTCTCCGGCAAAACCCCGAGCCGGAAAAAAGCGGCAGCCATGTTCATGCAAATGCCGCGGGGGATATTTAAATCCCCCACGGCATTTGCAATTCCAAAGTGTCTCATTAGCATCCCTTTTCCGGAAAAGGGTGCCAGTGTAGACACAGCCAGGCTGTTGTTTTAATACCAAAAATGATCTATTTCATCAACTTTCATTTTTATTAAAATCATACATTTTATGGAGGATCATACAACAGGCTCTGATCTTCTGGTTCCATTCACTTGAATATCTATTCTTTGACCCCAGATGTGACCTACATTAAGCCTTTAGCCCTCGCTTATACACCTCACCTGAGGAGCATCCTGAGGAAGTAATTATAACCCACAGAGGGACAATTCCTCCTTGTATTCCTCTCTGATGCTGGGGAGGAGGAAAGACGCATGTAATTTCATTCCTTTTTGATGTGTACAATTGTCTGCCCTTCTCCTCAACCAACTCCACTGATCAGAGCATGGGATGGGGGCAAATGTGTCTCCATCTACTTCCTGCCACTTCCTGACTACTCCAGCCATATCTGTTAGCAGAGGGGGGATTTCAGGCCTCCCTTCTGAAGGGGGGGGCAAGATTCTACTAGGGTGTATGTTTTCACACACAAGGTGGATGGGAGGGTCCTTTCTCCCCCGTGGAACCATGTTGGAAGAGGACACAGTCTAACCATAGACTTGATCTTGTTCAAACTTTTGTGACCTGTTTAATGATGCAAACATTTCATTTGAGTCTGTTATACTTCGTAAGATGCAACGCCACCCAATAGGTAGGACATGGAAGATGAAATGCGGGAAAGATTTTAATATAAATTTTAGAGTTTCTCATCCTCAGTATAATAGCCTATTATTCTGTGTTCCTGATTCTGGAAAAAGCTGCCAAAATGTGGAGTGTGAAATAGGATTTTGCATATATTTATTACGGAACGTGGCTAAATGCACTGGAAAAGAAGGCTAAGTACACGTGGATAAGGTATCTGGGTGGTCAAAGAGAAAGCAGGGTTGTAAACAAGAGTTCCTCTAGGAGCAGCTGCTAGAGAACTATTCTAAGTTAGTTTCAAACAGTAAGGCACAAATATAGCAGGATTTTAGAATTTGCCTGCAATGACTGAGGGTACAGGTTGCTCAGTTTAAAAGGTGGCTCACACAGCCAAAGTTCATCTTACTATCTTTAAACTTAAGGGTCTACTAATCCCCTAATTATTATTACATATATTCTTCTAAAAATTTATAATTTAAGATTACATTTGTAAACGTGCAGCTCCTGTCTCTGTTTCCTGTTGGATGCAGAAGCTGCTGGCATTGGTCCCAGTACATGGGAGGAGTCTCCCGAGTAGCAACAGGGGGCAATTTGGCTGGGAGTCAAGAGACCTGTGTTCTGTTCTGGGCTTTCTCACAGATTTCCTGTGGACCTAAGGTAAATTACATCATCTCTTTCCTCAGTGTCTTCTTTTGTAAAATAATTATAAAAATAATTGCCTATTTAATATGGGAGTTGTGAGGTTAAGTGAATTAATACAGCGAGAGTACTATGTATTGGCATCTATGAGTGAAAACCTCAAAAGAGAAGATTATTATTATATAAATACTGCAAAAAACCATAAAATCTTCACTTGACTTTTTAACTGGATTCACTGTGAAAGGGTTCATGTTCAATGAGTAGTTCCAGCGAGTGAGCACGCTCGTAAGAATATTCACTAAACAACTCCCTTTAAACCAGTATTTCATATTCATGGAAATGGAATCATGAATTTGTAGTTTACACTGAAAACCTGATTATGAGATGCATGTTCATCCAGACAAGTACATACTGTACTAGCAGACTTACTCAGTATTTCTTGGGAGTGTAAATCAAGAAATGGTTGGTAGAGTTTTGTTGGGAAATAAAAGGAAAAGGCAGCTGTGATATGTAAATGATTGTAATTTTCAAAAAAGAAGGAAAAAGACAAGTTTGTGATAATAAAAGTAAAAAAGTGAATCAAACAGTAGATAGTTTGTTGGTAGACAATATTTCCAGTTTTCCTGCCTTGCTAAAATAAACAAATGTTTTGCACTTCCCACTCTCCATGTAGCAACATATAGTTACTGGTGTGCAAAGTAATCTGGTCCCAAAGCCACTCCTGTAAGTATGAAGAACTGGCCCTGTGCTATGTTTATTGTTCTTACAAAAGTGAGTCAGACTGGGAATTGGAGACGTTTAAACTGAAATGGGTTATCTGTAGATATCAATGGACTCTGTGGTCTAAAGTTATCCTGCACTTTGGCAAATCCAGCTGAAATGGTAACTTTGATGGTGTAAGCTTCAGAGATTTAATGCAGTCTTATGCCATTGCACAGTCTTGGAGCAGCTACATTTCTTAAAAGCATGACTGGACATCCAACTTTCAACATCCCTAGGCCCCGTAAGGAGCTCTGTGGGGTAAGAAGGGCATCCCTAGGTCCCATGAGGAGCTGCATGGGAGGGGAGGGAATCCCCAGACCGCAGGTGAAGCTGTGCCGAGAGGGGAGGGCAGAAGAGAATCTCCAGGCTCTGGAGGTGGGGAGTGTGAAGGGAATCCCCATGCTCCAGGTGAAATGGCAAGAGGGAGGGGGAAATCACTAGATCCCGTAGAAGCCTCACAGCGGGGATGGGAGAATCTCCCCATGCCCATGTGGTGTGGCAGGGGAGAGGGAAGTGTGCATGCCCCGGGGGGAGAAGGGAAATTCCAGACCCTGTAGAAAAGTGGGAGGTAATGCCCAGACCCAGTAGTGGCGAGGGGAATCTTACCCATAGGAGGTGGCTTAGCCAGCAACATGCAGAGCCCCATCCACAGCTGGTCAGTCCCATGCTGGTGTGGCTGTCCCCAGTGCTCACACTGCAGTATCCCATCCCTACTCGCTACCCCCAGTAGTGAGTGTGAGGATCCTGTCCCTTCTCTCTCTGCCCCTCCCTTTCCATGCTGTGGCAAGAAAGGGGCTGTTTCCTACTTCCCGTGTGCCTGGCACAACCAAACCCTGACCTTGCTTTAAGTTAGGGTAGGCCTACCAAACTTGGTGGCTTTAGCTGTTACTGTTTAGGAGGAGTTCTTTCCCCCCAAACAGATGGACATTTCATTTCTAATAGACAAGCTAAATACAGTACCTTGAAATTCAGCTATTAATGCTACAATTAGCTGCTTGTGAACAAGCTAGTGAAGCAAAACTAGTGAAGTGAAGAATTATGTTTAGAAAGCATTAGAATATCAAAATCATTTTCAGATACCAAATGCATTATAAAATCCATTATTTGTTTATGGAAAAGGCAGCAGAAAAAGATGCATTAATCGTCTAAAATTAATGATCTTTGAAGAATGATTTCTTTAGCTCAAATCTTTTGTTTATTTACAACTAAAGTACTTAACTCAAAACCTAATGTTTTATTCACCCTATTTTTGTCCCCATAACATTTTTCGTTTTACAATGAAGTGTGTGTATCAGAACAGATAACCTGCTGGAATTCTCATGTATTAATATATTATAAAGGCTTATATTTACGTTTCAAGCTGACTTGGTTAAACTTGATTTATAACTTTGATATATGATAATCCTTAATATATTCCCACTGCCTTGGAATTAAAATTAAACAGGCTGGATATTCAAACCCTTGACTCAGTCACCGATACACTTTGCAGTATGCGAACACTTGTTAGGACTAGTGGCGCGTTCAAGAATGTTAGCAGCTCCACCGACCTGCTCACATACAAAACTCTTGAGTGTTTTGCAGATGTTAGTTTCTGCTTTTTGATGTCCAGATACATTAACCTGCCTGTTATCCAAACAATAAAAGGCAAAATTTTTGGAATAAAAACAATCAAGGAGAGAGAGTGAGAACCAGTTCTAAATACAAAAAGGGATTGAAGGAGATCCCCCTGAGAGAGGGAATGGAAAAGCAGATGCCCAGCCCAGCTAAATAGGTCCTTCATGGTATTTCAAGGCAATATATGTCTTTGTTGTACTATTCTCATAATATTTACAGCCTTCTTCATTTCTAAAGAACTCTGTGGGTTTTTGTTACAATTGAGGTTGCCTGGATTTTCCCCTCATCTTTTCATGATCTGCTGACAGTCAATACTCTCCCTGTGTCAGTAGAATGTATGACAGCAGAAATATTATGATCTTTCCTTTTAAAAGCGAGCACTAAAGAGCACTTTGGTGGAAATCTATTTTGAATTCTCTTTACAGTTTTTAAATGAAACTTGCAATGAAAAGTTCATACTTACTGCTTCCTGAGAGTTTGGGAGTGGAGTTATTCTGCCCAGAGAGAGAGAGAGACAGAGTGCCTGCAGCTGTCAGTGCAGAGCTCAGTGGAATATGCCAACATTTTTACAATGAAAGAGCAGATGTGGTTGAAATTGTTGACATGAAACAAGGGAACAAGGTCAAATGCAGATTTTCCATATCAGTTTTTCAGATGTCTTTTCCAATTAAAGCAAGTGTGGTACTTGGCCAGGGACCGTTATACAAATCTTGTGAAAACCATAATGCCTGTCATGGATGGTCTAGGTCAGTGGTTTTCAACATGCACTCCATGGACCCTTGGGGATCCTCAGACAATATTAAAGGAGTGCATGAAATGTTGTCGTCATCATCATAGAACAGTAAGTCCTAACCTGTGGTCTGCGGACCCCTGGAAGTCTGCTGACTATGTCTAAGATTTCCAAAGGGGCCTGCACCTCCATTTGAAATTTGCAAATGAAAAAAAAAAAGGTTGACAACCATTGGTCTAAGTTTACTTATTTTTGCCTCAGTGCCAGGGTCTGGATTTTATGGCCAGTCAAGGGCCCTTTGAGCCCTACATTTCTCTGACTCTGTGATAATTGGTCAGGAAACAAAAGTACCATAAAGGACTACAGCTTGTCACAATACTACATGCTGCACAATGCTTGGTTCAATTCTTATTTTGCTTTTTAAATGTTATGGAATAATGCAGTGAGGTTTACTCTTTGTCCTGTGCATGTATATACATACTCATTAACTCTATACCTGGAAAATGTAGGCCCATGTTTGCCTGGCAAGATAGATCAAGATATCCCCATAGGGCCTCCTGCTTGAATCGGGGCTTTAGATTTCTGCCACTTTTCCATTAGGAGTTTCATATAAACAATTGTGACATGTGACATAATTATTGGTCAACGAAGAAGTGTATCAGACTTACTAATAAGCCAACAGATTTGCACCGTCCTGAGAATTGCCAGCCCAAGCATTCAAAAACCATGAGTCAGGCCTCCCACAACCATGAGATTGGTTTAAAAATCAGGAGATTTAAAAAAAAATAGTTTAATTATTTTTATCTGGGTTTTGAGCCTTTACAGTGCACACATGCCACATTTTAAAGCTTTTAACTACAACTTGAGGGCTAGAAACCTAGCATGCTTTTTAATGAAAGCTGATATTTTCTTGTAATCACAGGATTCTGAGAGCTGGAGCTTTAAGAAAATCTTTAAACGTTGTGATAAAATAACAGGTGCTGGCAACACTGTGTTCTTGTTTACTGTTAAGAGAAACCACATTCCTAGCCCCTATTCCTGCATCCTGGGGGCTAGTCTCCTATGCAGCAAGTAAAATCCATTGAGCTACATTAGTATGATACTAGACCAATGCAGTAGTGAACAAAGCTCCTACTTTTATTGTATTTTCAGGCAAACTGCCAGGTGGCAGAAGAACTTAGATTTAAAACATAAAAAGCTGCTTTAAAAGCATAAGGGTGTAACAGTGTAGTTTTCCTTGAGGATTTGGAATGGCTCTTTGCACTCTGCCAACTACCAGACGCAGTGTGGGCTATCTTTGGCCAGAAGAGCCATGATGGGTGTGGTGATGGAAGGAAACTGGGGAATGAAACATTGGTAGTACCTGGCTAGGCCCAGAAATTGTCACACCTGCCACTTTGTGGAGGGTGCAGGATAGTTCTGTAGCTCTTGAACTTTTCCTACGAGTGGACATACTAGGCCACATTCCACATGGTACCCCAGGTGGGTAGTCTCCTGCCAGCTGATTTCTTTAGGTTGGCCATAAGAAGACACTGGAAGTAGAGGGATGTGTTCCCAGGCCTCCCTCATCAATCCCAGTACCCCGTAGGACTCTCAGCCATACAGGCCTTCAAAGGGAGAGAAAAGGGTGGGCAACTGGGGTACATCCTGGATAGCCAGTAACAAGAGCGGAAACTACTAGTTCCACTGTTGCAGTTCAAAAGGGGGAAATTTCCTCAGCATACCCTTTAGTATCCCGTTGAAGCACTCAGCCAACCTGTCTGTCTGTGGGTGGTACACAGACATTTGCAGTTGTCGAATACCTAGAAGGGCACACACCTGATGGAACAGCTGGGAAGTGAAATTAGTCACTTAGGCTACATCTAGATTACATCCTTCTGTCAGCAGAGGGATGTAAATTAGACGTTTTGAAAGTGAAAATGAAGCAGGGATTTAAATATCCCATGCTTTATTTGCATAATCGCGTCATGGCACTGTTTCGAACAAACACCATTTTGAAAGTGAAACCACGGTTTAGATGCAGTTCTTTCGACAACGGGGTGCTTTTTTGAAAGATCCTGTACTCCTCATTTGATCTTTTGAAAAAGCAGCCTGTTGTCGAAAGAACTGTGTCTATACCGCGGTTTCACTTTCAAAATGGTGCTTGTTCGAAACAGTGACATGATGTGATTATGCAAATGAAGCGCGGGATATTTAAATCCCCGCTTCATTTGCACTTTTGAAACATCTAATTTACATCCCTCTGCCGACAGAGGGTTATAGTCTAGACGTAGCCTTAGTAAGAAGTTCCCTAGTAATCTGCACCTAGGCAAAGACCTTTACTAATTCAACTGCAACAGTGCAAGTGCTGCTGTTCTGTAGGGGAATGGCTTCAGGGAAGCAGGTAGCATAGTACATTAGGACAAGGATACGTCAGAACCCAGGCTTACTCACTGGCAGGGGCTCCACCAGGTTGAGTGAAACATTCTCAAAAGAGATATCAATCATGGGCAAGAGGAACAGAGGAGCTAGCCCTGGGTCAGTGGCTAGCTGACAATCAGGGCATGAATGGCAATAGTTCTTTAGTTCCTGATAGATCCCTGGTCAATAAAAATGGGATAAAACCCATGCTAGGGTCCTGTCCTGCTCCAGATGTCCAGCTGCTGGGCTGTCACGTGCAAGTCGTAAGACTGCCTTCTGATGACAGTGGGAGATAACTAACTGGGTCTGGACCGTGTGGATTTGTGGATTCTGTTCTACCTGGTAGAAGTGATCCACTGCTAGCTTGAAGTGGGGCAATTGCTTTGCCTTCAGTGGATCTGTCACAGCTCTGTTGATCCAGGTTACTTGGTCATCATAAGCATATCTGAGTGTAGCATCTCCCTGCTGGTCTTGAGGGAAGTCAGATAGGCAGGCTGTCATGAGTTCTTCGTTGGGGGAATTGGGGGACAGGTTTGGGTCATCAGGTTCCTCAGGTTCTTCAGGTCCCACCAACTTCTCTTCCCTTCCCCCATGGGAGACCCCATCACTGGCCTCAGGGTTGTGGCTTCCAACAGGGTCTCCCTGTAGGACAATCCAGATGTCTGCAGTAATTGGTGTCCCACATAAACACATTAAATCCTGGCCTATCCTGGCCAGAAATGATTGAATAGGTTAGGTTAGGATGGGGGCCAGCTCCACTATCATTTCTTCCATTACCCTATTTATGGTCAGGAGTACTCTGATGCAGGGGTATGTCTTTACATTCCCATTAATGCACTGAAGCCAGACCTCCCACTCCGTCACCCTAGAGTCAGGGATGACTCCCCTGCAGATGAGGGTCTATCCACACCCTGAGTCCACTGCTGGGGACCTATCCCCCAACTGTGGATGTCATCAATTTTGGTGAGGATGGCTTGTGGGCCCAGGATTCTGTGGTATAACCTGGCCAAAACTACAATCCATCTCTGGATAGTCCCATTGCAGATCCTAATGCAACCACAAGCAAAGCAAGGTCCCAGCTCTGAATGGGCTGGTTGAGGCATCCCAGCTGGAGGAGGCCTTGTCTATTCTCTCAACCCACTGGACTGGGGACCTACAGAATCTCACAAACTATGGGTGCGAATGGATGGCTGAGGAGCATACCAAGCCTGACCTTTGGTCAGGTGCAAGGCTGAGTGCAGGTCAGGACTGGATCTGGGTTTCTGCATTGGTGGTGGGGCCAAAAGTTTGTATACAGCAAGGTGGGTGCAGACCCTGGGCCTGATGGGGGCTTCTACAGCCAGAAAACCCTCCATTAGGTGACAGTTGCACTTAGGGTTGTTGGGCACTGTCAAAGTACCCACGTCCAACCATAGGGTGGAAGAACCTGGGTAAAGTGTTCTAGGGTGATCTGCTTGGTGATCTCAATTGCAGAACACTGCTTCAGTGCCAGTAAAAGTTCTTTATGTCATGTGCCATGGTTCGGAGCTGAGCTCCAGGTGGGTAGTTTATTGTCTGGAGCCGTCAGTGGAAGGTCTTTGGCATAATGTCGAGGGCATCTAATATGGCTAAATAGGTTGACAAGAGGGTGGCCCATTGCTCCTGGGGCCACCCTGCAACCACAGCAACCCACTCAAAGGTCTTCAAAAAGTCCTCTGGGTCATCTTCAGGCCTTATCTTGGAGAGTCAGATGGGTATGGTGGGGGCTGATGGCAAGAGTGGCTGTTATCATAGGCAGGGGAAGGCATTACCTTCCCAGACTGCCAGGCATGGCCCCACCCATACTACACCCCCAGAATGCCTCCAGGCCAGGGAGGTTGGGGGCGCAAGTTGCCCCACCTCCCCGTGGTGCTGGAGGCTGGGGTCTGGGCAGAAGGGACAGGGCTGGGGCCTGCTTCCCCCAGCCGTACCTTCAATCTCTGCTTATGTCTGGCAGGTCTCCCACTGCTCTGGGTGGAGGTCTGCTGGGTTGGGGTAAGAGGATTGTAAGTGGCTTAAAGCATTGTAGCTATAGCTCCGGGTGCTGGGCCCCTAACTGCTGGTGGAATTGCTGCTGGTGGGCACTCAGCTGCGGCACCAACTGCTGCTTCTGGCTTTCCACCAGATAGTTTAGGAACTTTTTCCTATCCATTGGTCTTGTTTCTTCTCTCTCTCTTTTTTTTTTCTTGAAAGGTGACGACAGGATCACTTCCTTCAGGGATTGAGCTGCTGCCCATGTTCTCCACCATGTGTAATCCTGTTGAGGGTGGGAATCTGCCCATTAGGTCTCAGGGAGGGGTTCTTTCCCCCCACATCAGTGGGCAGCCACTCCAACTACCCAAACATCTGGTTCAGTAGCACAGTGTCACAGTAGTTCAGTGTCACATG